GTCCCTCAGGGATGTGTTCTAAGCACAACACTTTTTCTCCTTGCTATAAATGATTTGGCCTCTGTTCTTCCACCCAATATTTGGTCATCACTCTATGTTGATGACTTCGCTATTGCTTGTGCAGGCGCTGACTGTCACCTTATTGCAGTTTTTCTCTCCAGCATGGCGGTCGACCGTGTTTCCACTTGGGCCACCACACATGGGTTTAAATTTTCAAGTACCAAAACTCACCAAATTACTTTCACTAGACGCTCTGTTATCTCCGATCATCCTTTGTATCTCTATGGCTCCCCTATCCCCGAACGTGATACAGTCAGGTTTCTAGGCCTTCTCTTTGACCGTCGGTTAACCTGGAAACCTCACATTACCTCTCTGAAGGCACTTGTCACAGCCGGCTAAACCTTCTTAAAACCCTTGCTCATCTTTCCTGGGGAGCTGATCGTCGAACTCTGCTTCGCCTACATTCAGCCCTCGTTTTATCGAAACTCGATTATGGTGACCAGATTTATTCCGCGGCCTCTCCTGCTACTCTCTCTAGCCTTAACTCTATCCATCACCAAGGCTTACGTTTGTGCCTTGGTGCTTTTCGCTCTTCCCCTGTTGAGAGCCTCTATACAGAAGCAAATGTTCCATCCTTGTCTGATCGCCGTGATGCCCATTGCCTTCGTTACTATGTACGCTCTCACGATCTACACAATCCTTCCATTTATAGAATGGTCACCGATATTAGTAGACATTCTTTATTCGTTCGCCGCCCCTGTTTGCTCCGTCCCTTTTCTCTTCGCCTACTTTCACTCTTGTCTTCCCTTCAGTTACCACCTTTATATGTTCATGTAGCATCTCACTTTTCCCTACCCCCCTGGGAAGTTCCAGCTGTTCGGGTCTGTTCTTTCTCACTCCCTTGCTCGAAAGCTCAACTGCCTACGGTGGCTTCCCGCTCTCTTTTTCTTGATCACTTCCACTCTCATTCTCATGCCACCGCTGTGTACACAGATGGCTCTAAGTCTTCAGACGGCGTCGGATTCGCAGCAGTGTTTCCGGACAGCGTCGTACGAGGGCATTTACTATCTTCAGCTAGCATTTTTACTGCTGAACTGTATGCCATTCTTGCAGCACTTATTCGTATCGCATCTATGCCTGTGTCATCATTTGTAGTAGTCTCAGACTCCCTTAGTGCTCTACAGGCTATACGAAAATTTGATACATCTCATCCCTAGTTCTCCGTATCCAACTTTGGCTACGCCGTATCTCTTACACAACATAAAGATATTGTTTTTTGTTGGGTCCCTGGTCATGTCGACGTACAGGGCAATGAACAGGCAGACACTGCTGCGCGGTCAGCAGTATATGACCTACCAATTTCCTATCGAGGTGTTCCATTTCTGGACTATTTTGCTGCAATAGCTACCCACCTTCGCACCCGTTGGCAACAACGTTGGTCAACTCTGCTCGGTAACAAACTTCATTCTATTAAACCGAGCATAGGTTACTGGCCGTCTTCTTGTCATCAGTGCCGAGGTTGGAGACCACTCTCTCCCGCCTTCGCATTGGCCACACTCGTCTTACTCATGGGTATCTCATGGAGAGGCACCCTGTTCCTCTCTGTGAGCAGTGTCAAGTTCCAGTATCGATTAGCCACATTCTGTTAGACTGCCCTCTCTATCAACGAGCACGCAGAATTTACCTCCAACGTCCGTCTTCGTTCTCCTACTCTCTCTTTACCTTCCCTTCTTGCTGATGGACCCTCCTTTAATCCTGACTCTCTCATTGACTTCTTGACAACGACTGATTTACTCCACAAACTCTGATGATACTTTTCGCACTCCCCTCAGCCCTTCTGGTTCAGTCTCTTGCTGCCCTTTACCTTTTACCATCCACTGCCCGCTGTTATCCGTAACCTGTTGCTCATCCATCTCCCTTTTGCCCTGATGCCCTCGCTTCCTTCCTGCCCTGCAGCGCTGTATAGTCCTTGTGGCTTGGCGCTTCTTTTTGATTATAATAATAATACATTTCCAGGCTTTACATAAGAATTCCATTTTGATTTTTTATTCACACCAAAAAATAGAAGATTTACTGTTATGCAATACTGTAATAATTGTATAAATAATATCAGTGCATTTGTGAAAGCATATTAGACCCACCAGTTGATGTGTATTGGACGCATGATGTGATCCGTTCACTCTTGAACATCGGCAAAACTTGAACATTTCTGCTATTTTGAGCTCAATTTCAAGCTATTTTCTGTCCTAAAACCAAAATCATCTATTTCTGTAATATATCTTCCATTCTTTAATGAGACCGAGAAACCGTGAATACACCCATAAAATCGACAAAAGTACACAAATTTGTTTTAAACCAAAAATACGGTCAGTTTTTTCTCATTATGCACTGCGTGCTGTAGGATGTTTTATTTGGTGCACACTTACCATAGACCCATTCTCTTGTATCTAGACCCAAATTTACCATTCACAGCTTGCCCAAGCCAAGCTCATCACAAAGTACTATGGCACAGACCCTGGCTTTAAACCTGTAGAAGAACAGCACGGACCCTCAAGTTATCTCTATAATTATCCCTACTACTAATATATTACCCCTAGTACTATTCAATCTATTACCTCTATTACTAAGAGAATGAGGTAATAGGCCTACTGTAGCATTTATGTTACCCTTTCACAAACAGTTCAAGGATACCATGTCCTTATTTGTACTGGCTTGACAAAGCTCCTGGAGACTACAATGTAGGGACAATGCAATATCTCATGAAAAAACCCTCTCAAAATTCAGAGAAATTCCTATAGTGCCAAGGCTGGGAAGGTATAACAGCAGTTAATTACTAATTATAAGGCAGGAGCTGGAGCTAAGACCCCTATAAATGTACATTTAACGAATAGTCACTTTTAAAAGGAAAATAAAAACAAATACAAAATTTCCCAAATGAAATTTGTGCATCTTCCTTTAAAGACTATTCAAATCTCAAATTGAGTGCAACTTGTGAAAAAAAATACTAGGCATGTAGATGCAGTACTTACGTCCAAAAGGGCAGAAGTCTATAAGAGGCTGTTTTTTTAAAGCTGGGTGTGGTTATATTATGTCCCTCGCACAAAAGTCGCTGCATGCATCCTGGCTCAAGATTAGCAGCCCTGGGTTGAGTATTTAATGATGGTATATGAAGCCCTAGAACTGATATCAGGTGTGCCATACCCAACTCTGTAAATAAATTTAGACAGGCTATTATTTTTTACATACATGCACATCTTTTCATAAATTCTCAATATATCAACTTTTTTTTTTGTTATTACTCCAATGTACCAGTTCTGGCTTCTTTAGAGCTATATTTGAAAATTTTTATACATTTTTTCTCTCCAATTATCTGGCCATATCCCACCCAGCAGGGCAACCTAAAAAGGCTTTTCTTTATAAATTTAGTAATTTATACAGAAGGGATTACTAGCCCCTTGCTCCTGGCATTTTAGTCGCTTTTATGACAAGCATGGTTTACGGAGAAAGAATTCTTTTTCCACTGACCCGGGGAGATAACGGAAATAAAGAACAAGAATGAAGAAAACCCAGATGGGTGTGTAAATATATATGCTTGTACATTCATATGTAGTGTGACCTAAGTAGCAAGATATACCTGTTATCCCATATTATAATAAAAGCACTAAACCTATATCCCGTGTGTTTGACAAAAAAAATAAAGACATGTAAAACAATTACAGGTTTCCACTTCATAATCATTTATTAAATTTTTATCATGGCCATCTCTCACTAATTAGGGTGACCCAAACACATTCAACATTATTCACTTCTACCAATAGGAAAATATGTACACCATGCCTTTCTTCAAATCCCTAAGACCACTAAATATAAATGCAATTCAAACATTCTACTGTTCAAGCCACATGTTCAAAACATTACACTGTAATGCTGACATTGAACTCAGGCAATTCCTAGAAAAACATTACACAGGCATCACACCCAAAAATTATAATCATAACTAAATGCCAACCCTATAAGGTGTCATAAAGCACTGACCAGAAACAATACCCATTTGATATCCTTTGTTTGACTGAACATTACAGAAATTCTTTGCATGTTGCAGGACCAAGATATGGAGTTACTTAACAGAGCTAAATGGCTGCAGCAGTCTCTGCAATTGAAAGAATGCTAAAGAGGGCACTGTGCCTAAATAGTGAAGTCAAATCACATACCTTATCTATTTCTGATTACCCTTTACTGTTTTCTCCACAAGAGCACCATTACTACAATATATGTACTGTGTTGAACTTTGTTACTTGGAACAGTCACTGCATCATGAATCTGAATTATTGTATTGTCACCTAATGTGCAAAAAAATTGTACCAGAGAACTTATTTGACTGAACTTGAACCCATCTAATTTTTCATATGTACATGTACCATGCTGTTTTATCTCTTTACATAAACATTTGCTAGTCACCGAATTAATTTTATTGTGTATATACATCTTCATAGACACAAAATTCTCAATCATAACCCACATGGAAAACTCGGGAGATTGATTTGTATATTTTGACCCCCTTCTGGGATTCTCTTCAGCATGGGAATCCCAGAAAGGGGTCAAAATATACAGATCAATTATTCAGTCTTCTTAGTGTCTACATGTAGATTACTGAGCATTGATAAGTATTACTGAACATTGATAAGTATTCATTACACTTTATTCATATACATAAAATGTTAATTATCCTTTCACTCTTAAGTTAGGTGTAAGCTTGTTCTGCATAATTAAGGACTTTACTTGTGGAACATCAAATGTTATCCATTTTTGCAGAAACTATATATCATATGGAGATAAAGAATTTGGAGATAAAAGATAGACACTGGAAAACTAGACAAATGCAGTATAATGCAATCCTTTATTGACTGTTTTGCCCATACAGTGGGCTTTATCAAGTCACAAAAAGGTCTGTGTGACTAAAAGGCCACTGTGTGGGCAAAACATTGCCAATGATGGACTTCTTTATACTTCATTTGTGTACTTTTCTAAAGAATTTTAATTTAGGTTATGACCCTTACGAGTTTAGCGTTTCCCTTTGATTATACAGTAGAATACAGCTGTGTTAAAAAAAAGTCATCATTCACCTTTTATACTTTCCCAAAAGAAGGTGCTACTGATATGCAATTGTAAAATTCTACATTATAAATTTTCACCAAAATAAGTACTTGTGCAACAGGAGTATATGAAGTATTATACTTTCAAGTAAAAATATAACTACATCAATACGCAATAATGGCAAAAATGAAGTACAGAATTTTTTTTTCCTGACCTGGCTATCTCATGAAGACTAATGTAGACCTGACTGATGACCTGTGCCACTTTCTTAAGCAGTGTGTTGTTTTTATGATTGTCATCAACATCTTTTTCAAGGCCAAGATTATCCATAAATTCAAATGCAAGGGAAGAAAAGTCAAGCTGCAGTCCACTGAAATTAATCTCATCCTCTCGACCCAGGAGCGAGTTCAAGGTGGTTGTCTGAAAGAGACGACTTAAAAAACAACAGGCAACTAAACAGAAAAAAAAAATGGTGGTAAAAGAAAAAGAGGTCAAAAGTTCAAAGGATAATATAAAGTTTTAAAACCCAGTACAACAGTCTATTGGCTCTGGTCCTGACCAAACTGTTGTGCATAGTTTCAATAAAATGATTTACCCTATATTCTCAAGAAATACACCCCTCAAGGAAGGTTCCTTGATGTTGGTGAGGGGCTCTTGATTTAGAGAATTGGATCTGTGCTCCAGTTCCCCGAAATTAAGCGTTGTGAATGAAAAACCTTCCACATCCCCCCCCCCAGGCGCTGTATAATCCTCCGGGTTTAGCGCTTCCCCCTTGATTATAATAATAATAATCAAGAAATACAATGTTTTGATTAAAAAAATGCACAGTATGTGTGTTATATTGCACAAATAATATACAGTATTGTATATAATAAACACTGGTCAACAGCAGAAATGCCTCAGAAATAAAACTAGTCATTTACTAAATTTGGGTCACTGAATATAGAAATGATGCTTAAAATTGCAAATTGGTGCTATTTATGAAGATATGAACTCAGGCTGGGTGCTGTTATCTTTGACAGGAAAGGCTCATAATTCAAATGCACAATTGTTTAAAAAATGTATGACATTCCCTGAAGTCAAACTATGCAACTTTTAAAAAAATACAGGATTTCCTTTAGTTAATTGTTAAAGCCCCTGAAAGCACAAAAAGTTTTAAACGTGTAGCCCAAAATATGTAATAAATATTAATTAAACAAATCTTGTTTTTAGTAATCTATGTAGAAGGGGACATATGAACTGTTGCATCTGTGCATCTTTGACAGTGATAGTGTGAATGATGGTGAAACTTTTTTTTTTTTTTCCTTGGGCCACCCTACCTTGGTGGGAGAGAGCCTGCGTATTAAAAAATAATAATATTGAATTAGACAAGGTGGATAATTTATATTCAACATGTGAATACTTCAGTACATTTGGAGTTTCATTGAACACTGGCATTTTTGCCAAGGATTTAACTTTTTTGTTTTTTTTAAATATATAAACAGAACTGGAGTTACTCCCACATTTGCACAGTAACTGTTACCCCAAGATGTAAACCACTACAATCCACTAACACCAGATACATTTTTACTGCTAGGTAAGCAGGAGTAGCAGGCATAAAAGGTAGCTTGCCCCTATGCTCTGTCTTGCCTTGTTAATTGAACCTGGGACAGTGACACTGATGAGCATCTTGATATGGTCAAGGTGGGGCAAGGCTTGCATCAACCTATAATTCAGAGTTATATATGCCTATAATTCAGAATTACATATCAGTAAAGTCTATCCCAATTTGGGTTTCCTATATCGGGCATGTCTGATAATGAGCCAGACAAAAGGCTTCAAACCATTTATGATGCAAAACATTGAATTTATCCAAGAAGCAATTTGGACAACCACCAATTGTTATTGATTCTGTATAGTTGAGGTGTGCCAAAATATCAGTGGGTATTGGCCTAAAACTAAAACGTTTGGTATAGTACTGGCAAGTACCAGGCAATTTTAATGGTATCCGCATCAACCTAAAACCAAGTACTGTACGTAGAGATTGTCAAAAAAAATTAGTATCATTCCATCCCTAATGTACAGTACATGTATAATAATTTAGGTTCAATTAGGATTTTTTTCCCAGATTTTGTCATCTTAACACTAAAAAATTCTGTCTAATGAAGTGTTACATGCCAACTGCATTTTTTAATTACAAACTTGAATTTACCCCTATTTATATATGCTGTATAACTTCCTAAAATATATATATGTATAAAAAAATACAAATAAAACTCACATTAGCTATGGCTTGTACCACCAAGTTAGCCATGAAAAATGCCAAAAGCTAGGAAAGACATCGTAGTGACAGCTTTGTCAATGCTTGGAAGTTGCTTAGACACTCCAGACACCATCTGCCCCATCCGATACATCCAATTACTACTTTCCTGTTGATGTAATGTGCTCATTCCATTCCCAGCTTTATTCTTGAAACCTGAAATATGATGAAAGTTAATTAAAATGTGTGGCCAAGGTGCACCAGCTTGCTTTGACACTTCTTTAAATTACAGTATAGTACAGTGAATCTCTAATTAATGGCCTGATGAAGGGGGAGGGGGTGTGTTATTGCTGATTTTTTCCACAGATTCTGGCTGATGAAATTAATTTTTCATGACTAACAAAAGGACAAACTTCTTAGTGTATGTACTTGGTCTGCTTGGTCACATCTTAAACTATCTTTATTATTTAATGTTTTGATTAACAAATTACTGACTGGAGAAACATCTCACAGTAATACCCAAATGTCTTTTAGTGGATTATCTTGAAAAAATGGGGTTGCCACCCTGTTAAGGTGACCCAGTGTATGGGAGGGTAGAAAATACAATGGCTACATATTATGGTATATACATCCAGCTGTTTATAAAAATTGCTGACTAGTTACAAGAATTTAATTGGTATCTAGAGTTGCATCCTAGAGAAAGACTAAGAGAAATTAGCCATACTTTGTTTTGTTGGGCTATACTGGGTTAGTAAATGTCCAGGATTAAATACCCTAGAGATAGTTCATTTTTTCCATACTAACCTAAAGAAATCTCTGGACATGTTAAATTTTTACAAGTTTCTCACCGGAATTTATAAGAAGTTTCTTTTTAAGTGGATGGTCCATAAGGTTTGCCAGTGGCATGGCTTCAGCCAAAGATAAACCAGTCTGTGTATTTCCAGCACTTGCTTGGCTATTCAGGTGTCCAGGAGAGGTAGATGAATGCACTATAAGATGTGGAATGTTAGACCAGGGTTGATCCAAACTCTTGTGATCAGGAAATGCCTGGGATTCATAATCTGTGAAGAGGCCCTTTGTTACGGGTGTTCTATAAATCTATGAAAAGAACAATGTACAGTAAGTCTTAGGCTGAATCACCACAACTTTAAGAACCACTGAAATAAGGACTAGATTCTAATCTCTATTTTAGTGATAAAAGTATTCTTGATGTTGTATCTAGGTAAACTGCAGTGTTAATGAGCTAAATGCAGTTCACAGCCTTTAGAGCTAACAAACCATTAATTAAACTAGCAGTGTTCTCACCTGTGTGCTGTAGGTTGTGAGCAATGAGTTGGTGGTGGGTAGAGTATTATGACCCATAGAACTGGAGATACCTGCTGGACCAGCTGACAGCCTTCTCCTGAAACAGATCAAGTGATGTTTTGTTACACTGTATATTCATAGGGATCATAAAGCACCTGGGAAACAAGATGTAATCAGGCCTGATGCAGGAGAGAGGATAACTAATTCCTGGATCAACAGACTTCACCAGCAACAAATATAATTTTTTTAATTGTTAATGTCTATAATACCCACTGTTACCTATTTTCCAAACCTAATCATTCAGAAATGTTTAAGAAATGGCAAAGTATTTTATCTACAGTGGTATATTACAACCATTCTGGAAAAATATCCTGACTTTGCTCACTGTAAATAAAGTATTACCACGTGTGTTTTTGTGCGTGCATGCATGCCCGTCCCAATTAATATTTGCACTAATAACTCATAGTTGTGACCGGGAGTGGACGTGTGAATGGCTCATTACGGTGTAATTTGTTCATGATTGTAACCATGTATAGACATGTAGATGGTTCATTGCCTTTAACTTTTTCAGCTATCAAAACTTTGGGGCCCAGTCCCTGGACTCATTATGTACCTCTACTCTTTTGACTACCGCCCACAGGATGGGTATGAGATGCATAATAAAGATATTAAACGAACTGTGCATGTATTATTGTCATCACCATATTTTGGCCACTCAATTATTCTAGATGAATGCAGCTCCCTCCTAATAAACATTTTACTGTGGCTTAGACAGTCAGATGTGTGACTGACACTAGAATAAGTGATTCTGTGACTGACCACTTAACTATTATTTGAACACAAGGATGGCATACATTTATTTATTATTATTTGGACATGATACATAGTTGTACAAAAGAAATACAGTGGTTGAGTGTACATGCCAAAAGCCCTTGTATGCAGAGCATTGTGGGCAGGCTTAAAATTAACTTAAGATTAACTAAGCAATGATATATTCAGTGGTAAAAATACAGTAAACAAATTACAACATGAAGTACAAATGAGTATTTCAAGTAAGAGGCTTTATAGTTTTACAAATCTGTAGCATATCTGATGAGTTACTGAGCATTCAAGAGACTGGAGTATTCTATTAGGTAATGTAATTACAAAAAAACAGTTTGATAGGGTCACAGGTTATACATTTATGAGAACCAGTTAATCAGTATTTATTTAGTTGTAGATGAGTAAGTGGTTTTTAAGAAGAGTCTTGAATTGATAAACAGACAGTGTTTCTTTTATATTCACGGGTAATGAATTCCAGATTTTTGGGCCTTTTATGTGCATTGCATTTTTACATAGTGTGAGATGGACACGAGGAACATCAAAGAGTGTTCTGTTGAGGTTGGTAAAGAGAAGTTTAAGGGAGGGTTTATATCCGAGTTAAGTGTTCTATGTAGTAGGTACAATAATAAGTATGGATGTTTTGTACGATGAGTAATTTTAGAGTTTTGAATATTGGTGGAGTATGCTGCCTGTAGTGGGAATTTATCATCATTCTGACTGCAGCCTTTTGTTGGGTAATTAATGGTCCGAGATGGTTTATTGTTGTCGAGCCCCATGCACAAATTCCATACATGAGATAGGGGTAAATGAGCGAGTGATATAGGGCCAGGACTGACTGACTGTGGAACATAGTACCGTATCTTCGATAGTATGCCTACAGTCTTGGAGATTTTCTTGGGAATGTGTTGTATACGTGTTTAAAATTCGAGTATTATTAAGGTGGATTCCTAAGAATTTTCCCTCTGTGAGCTTTATGATAGGTGATCCGTTTATCATTATGTTAAGAGGGACATCTGTGGTTCTGTTTCCAAACTGTATGTAGTAGTTTTTGTTAATATTGAGAGTAAGTTTGTTAATCATCCAGGTAGATATTTTCTGTAATTTGGTATTTACAGTATTGGCTAGCATGACCGAGCTTGGGCGAGAGAAGACGTATGTAGTGTCATCTGCAAATAGTGTGGGTTTTGAGTAGTTTGCGATGCATTTGGTAGGTCGTTTATGTAAATGAGAAAGAGAAGAGGGCCAAGGACACTTCCCTGTGGGACACCTATTGTAACTGGCTGTGTGGAAGAGTTTGCTCCATTTGTGTACACATATTGGCTTCTGTTGCTAAGGTACAACTTCAGGTAGTTGAAGGAGTGCCCTCTTATACCATAGTGAGAATTTTATGTACAGCAAATCATGGTCAACTGTACCAAAAGCTTTACGTAAATCAATGAAGATCCCCAATGGGACTTCTTTTTTCTCAAGTGCAGTGTATATTTGTTCTAGCATGTGTATAATAGAAACATTTGTATTTTTATTAAGCCTGAACCCAAACTGACAGGGGTTGAGTATGTTGTGGGAGATGAGGTAGGAATAGATTCACTTATGAATTAAATTTTTCAAAGATTTTAGAGAGAGGTGCAAGTTGGATATTGGCCTATAGTTATTCAAGTCTGTTTGATCTCCTCTATGTATCGGGAGACCCTCGCTATTTTGAGAACTGTGGGGAAGGTAGAGGATTCGATGGATTTGTTCAAGTGTGTTGCTATGATTGGTGACAGCACTTGCGAAGCTTTTTTGTATATAAAGGGTGGTAGGGTATTCAAATCTCCTCTCTTGTTTTTTATTGTGTTGATAATAAGGGAGACTTCTGTTGGGTTAGGCAGAGCTAGGAACAGTGTGTTCAGGTAGTTACCAGTGAGTAGTCATTTGGTGGGTATTTGAGCTTGGTGGAGAGAGAAACATTGAGTGTTTGCTGTTTCAGTTGTGGGAGTTGGGGTTCATCTGGTTTTGTTAGTTTGGTTGCTCTGTTTCCTGATATCTTTTGTTCTTAGAATTTCAGATAGGGTTTTCCATGTCTTTTTTTATATCACACCTTTTAAGTTGGATAATCTGTTCTCATAATACAATTTTTTTTGCCCTTCTATGAGGCTGGTTAGGATTGATGAGTAATGTTTTGTTTGGTCTCTGGTTATGTGACCCATTCTATACTGTTTTTCATATAGGTGCTTTATATTTGTGGATTTGAGAATTGCTAGGTGTTAGCCAGGGATTGTTTAGTCTCTTAGCTGTGTTTTTTTTTTTTTTTTTTTTTTTTTTTTTAGGGCAGTATTGGGTCTTTTAGAAAAATTAATACATTCATCAGTATAGGTTTCTAGCTCAGTTAGCCAGTTGATGTTTGTCACTGCTGTTGTGAAGTTATTAATGACTGACTCATTATGAAGTCTGAAGGTTACTTTAGTAGTGTCTTGGGGTAATTTACCTAGATTGGTTATGAGAAAGGTAGGGTTGTGGTCAGTGGTATTATCTGTGATTATGCCTGATTTTAAAGGGGATATGGTGTTGGTCCAGATGTGGTCTAATAGGGAAACACTAGTCTCTAATTCTTGTAGATTTTGTTACTGTTGGTAGCAACAAGCAGTTATTCATAGTGTTTGTGAATTCAGTAATGTGTGGATCCTGGTCTTGCAGGAGATTTACATTGAAGTCACCTGAGAGTAGTAAGTGATCTTTATTCTTGTGTGCATCAGTTATCATACTTCCTAGGGCTTCACTAAAATGGCTAATGTTTGACTGTGGTACTCTGTAGATGTTGATCACTGAGGTTTTTGTAGGTACAGTATTTGGATTTTAATTTAGCTATTATATATTCCCCATGTTCATACCTTGTGCAAGTATTAGCGATACATTCTAGCTGGTCTGAGTAGTACATAGCTGTGCCACCTCCTTGTTGATCTGGCCTACAGTTGTGTATGGCTGTGTAACCAGGAATGGCAAAGATGTCTGTAGTATCTGGCTTTAGCCAGGTTTCGGCGAGAGTAATGATGGACATACTGGCATGCAGGGAATTTAGTACAGTGGACCCCCAGTTAGCAATATTTTTTCATTCCAGAAGTATGTTCAGGTGCCAGTACTGACCGAATTTGTTCCCATAAGGAATACTGTGCAGTAGATTAGTCCATTTCAGACCCCCAAACATACACGTACAAACGCACTTACATAAATACACTTACATAATTGGTCGCATTGGGAGGTGATCGTTAAGCGGGGGTCCACTGTAATGCTGTGAGGTCATCGTAATGTTTGCTTAAAGATCTGACATTGTAGTTAAAGACAGTTATGTTGTTGTTGGCTCTGAGAAGTGCCTTTGTTCTGCTGTGTAGTAATTACAATTACTTTTTGATTCATTTAAGTCATTCAATAAGTGGTTGGTATCAGGATCAATGCTCGTAATCATAAGATTTATAGTGGATCTATAATTAGACTTAAGTATGAGAAAGTAAATATTCTAAAGCTAAATAATAGCACCCGAATTATTTTTAACAAATGTAAATATGAACTAAGGTAGTTCTTTAAAGCTAAAATAAAGAGACAATATAAAAGGGACTAAAATAAGTAGTGGTGAACAAATAGAGTGGTAATCAAATAAGGGAGCTAGGGAATATATATAAAATAATGAACATATTCCACTTTAGCACCTTGATTATTTTAACAATTGTGAATATATGAACTAAGGTAGTTATTTAAAACTAAAATAAATGTGAAAATATACAAGGACTAAACTAAGTAATGGTAAACAAAGTTAAATGGACAGATAGTCACTATATAGTACTGATTTAGGAGTAAGATCTAACTTGTAATATGTAATAAGTTTGAGCAATTAATAGCACTATACACAAAGAAAAAAAAAATAAAAGATAGTTGGTACTAGCTAGTAAATGATAGTTCTAGGAACTGCACAATAATGTAATTGGTATATACACTAATTGCACCACACAATATAAATGGGACTAAAATAAGTAGTGGTAAACAAAATTAAATGGATAGGTAGCAACAATAAAGAAAATTAATTTAGGTGTAAGATTTGACTTGCAACAAAATTTGAGCATTTAATAGCAATTAAAAGAAGTAAAAAGTATTTGAGGTGCTGGTATTAGCTGGTAAAAAAAATGCACAATGTAATAGTAACGTACACTATATGCACCACACTATACATGTGTACAGGACACTTATCTAATCTGTTACTGAAATGTCAGCTTTTCTAAGGAAGGTAGAGAAATCATATTCATTTGAGATGGTGTATTGACGACCTGTTGACGTTTTCCTAACTAGTATTTTCCCAT